CCTAGACGACTTTCAGCAAGGGGGCGTGGGCAGGGGCCCTTATTTCATCAAAGTAACAGACAGGAACAGCACTTGGAAACAGGCTGAACAGAGGGAAAATGAGTAACGCTCCAAATGACGTTGGGTTCAGCCCAATTCAAACAACAGCTCTGCACATACAGAAAGACTGGGAATAGCTAATAGGGGCGACCTTAACATGAGACTTATATAAAGAAACGCNTGAACAACGGCAACATGACAACGTTTTCATTGGTCCCTCTTCTTTAGAGAAGACCAGGAAATGATGGATACACGGATCGTGTTCAAATCAATAGGCACGCAATGACTCTAAATAATAATGATCACGCCACCAAACACACATTCAAACTAAAGGAACCAGCCTGTTTGGAAAATGAGAGAAGTAGAAAGTACAGGTATTTGTGTTCAACATGTAAGAAGTAGAAAGTACAGGTATTTGTGTTCAACATGTAAGAAGTAGAAAGTACAGGTATTTGTGTTCAACATGTAAGAAGTAGAAAGTACAGGTATTTGTGTTCAAAATGTAAGAAGTAGAAAGTACAGGTATTTGTGTTCAACATGTAAGAAGTAGAAAGTACAGGTATTTGTGTTCAACATGTAAGAAGTAGAAAGTACAGGTATTTGTGTTCAAAATGTAAGAAGTCAAAGTAAAAACTCGTCAGAAAAATAAGTAGTGGAGTAAAGTACTGATACCAGAACAATGTACTCAAGTAAGGTATCAAAGTATTTGTACTCCACTACTTCCCACCTCTGATAATAACAAAGCTTTATTTATACAGCACTTTTCATACAACACATGCAGCTCAAAGTGCTTTACAAAGTGACACATCTCAAGTTAAAGATAAAGCATATTGATCAGTGGATTGGCTGCTTCACAAAATAAATATAAAACATATTGATCAACTAGATAAAGATTTAATTGTGTGTCGGAAACAGATTTGAAGAAGGGATATTTTTGGTATAAATCATTGATATTTTGAAGCTTTCTGACAAGTTATTATTCCTTTTGTCAAATTAATCATCACCGAATAAAAAAATAAATAAACACTCGGCGAAAAACATCAATAAATTAAGCTATGATGATATCTTTATTTATGTAATCTACTGCTGTGTTTGAAGGTTATTATTGATCACATCATGTCCTTATTGGTAATAATAATACTTTCGCCTTAGATAGAAAGAGATAAATAAAAACTAGATCGGCAACTAGAGAGACTTTTTATGTATTAATAATTTGATAAATCTCACAAAGTATTTAGTTGAATTTGTTTGTGCGGTGGATGGAAGATGAAGCCTGAGTCCATATTAAAGCTCAGAAGCTTAAAGTAGAATCCTCCGATAGCAGTGAAGACAGGATGTTCGTGCTGAATACATTTACATATTAATGAGCCGAGCTGGAACAAAAGCTGCAGGACAAACTGAGAGGAGTGTGAGGAAGAGGAAGAGGAAGAGGAAGGTCGGGGTGAGGAAGGAAAGGCAGCTCAGCTTCATCGTTATTATCATCGTGCTAATTAATGTGACTCAGTCTGGATCAGGACTCGGTCGGTCTGGATCAGGACTCGGTCAGTCTGGATCAGGACTCGGTCAGTCTGGATCAGGACTCGGTCGGTCTGGATCAGGACTCGGTCGGTCTGGATCAGGACTCACTCGGTCTGGATCAGGACTCGGTCAGTCTGGATCAGGACTCGGTCGGTCTGGATCAGGACTCGGTCGGTCTGGATTCAGGACTCGTCGGTCTGGATCAGGACTCGGTCAGTCTGGATCAGGACTCGGTCGGTCTGGATTAGGACTCGGTCGGTCTGGTTTCCTATTATTAAACTTTATTGACACACCTCGTCACATTTGACACATTGGGATTCACTTCACAGTCTCTCAGTATTCTTCGTCTCAGTGTCTCATTGTTAATGTGTCAGAGAGTTTAATTTCACCACTTTATTCAAGTTTATTGTTACAGGTCTCTCATCTGACTTGCAGTCTCTGTACATTTTTTTTGTTTAAAGTGGTGGGGAAAGTCCTTTCAATCAAAGTCTGAACAGGTGAGAGTCAAAAACAAAACGTGAAAAATAAGAACTTATTGAGCTGATGAGTTTCTGTTTTTCTTCCTGCAGTCGAACTTTGCGATGGGCCGGCTCCCCTCCACGTACAGGAAGTGCTACATGCTGGACTTCGGTCTGGCGCGGCAATACACAAACACCACCGGAGAGGTCCGGCCGGTAAGAAACTTTATTGACAACTTCTGCGTCAACAGTAGCACCAGAGAGGCTGAAAGTAAAATATTGTTTGCAGTTGATTTTTGTATGAGGTTTTGATCTCCTGTTGTTGCTGTATGGACGACTCGCTCTGCCACAAATATATAATTAGTCGTAATAAGCTTATCATGTGATGGTTAAAAATTACGGAATAGCTTCTTATAATAATGGCTTTGTATTTCTTAATATTGACATCAGCGTGTCTGAAATATGAGGTTTTTGTAGTTGTTCAAAGTCATCTGATCATTCTGACATTTTAGATGTGAAATCCAAAAACATTTGACCTTCTAGAATAAAAGACAGGATGATTATAAAAATAGACACTTAAATAAATATGAGAAGTGAAATATGAATTGGATTTTTTTGTTCACTTTCATGAGATAAAAGGCAATCTTCATATCAAATACTCAATATGTTTTTTATGACTGACAATGTGAATCAAATATTGAGAAATCTAATAATAAGTTTAACGTTCACATTAATTCATAATCTAAGTCCTGACTTTCAAATCAAATTACAAACAAGAAATTAAAAATATCCTTATTATAATTATTATTTCTTCTTTTATTTCAAACAATCACAAAACAAACTATTTTCTCTTTATTATTCTGTACTAACTCTGTATTTGTTTCTCTTTTTTCCTCCTGATTTGTTTTATGGTTCAGTTTCCTTTAAGCCGTTAAAAAATTAATTATGAAAAGCTACATAATATCAGACAGACAGGGTGTGTTCACTGCATTGCAGTACACGAGTTCAATAGATAACTGTGTGTGTGTGTGTGTGTGTGTGTGTGTGTGTGTGTGTGTGTGTGTGTGTGTGTGTGTGTGTGTGTGTGTGTGTGATCAATAAGGAGTCATTAGATGTTATTGTTTAAGCGGATTATAAAACAGCAGTTTCCTCCTGTTGCATGATGGGATTTCTTTCTACAATTGAATGGAAAAGGCTTTTATTTTGAAAAGGCAGATCCTGATGTTTTGATTGGTTGTCAGTCAGTGATGAGGTCTGCTGGTCTCTGTGGTTTCACTGGGAGCTTCTCCCTCTTCTTCTTCTCTCATTCATTGATGACGTCTCTGTCAGACTGAGCTCTGAGATATTTTTAGATCAGAGAGTGCGTGAGCCATTTACTGNTGCCTCCCTGTCCTCTTCCTCCTCCTCCTCCTCCTCTATCGTCCTCCTCCTCCTTTCTGTCTCTCTTGTTTCCTCTTCTCTCTATATGTCTATTGATCTCCTCCTCTCTGTCTCTCCTCCTCCATTCTTTTTTCCTCCTCACACCTTATAACGTGTTTCCCCCTCTTCATCCCCCTCTTCCTCCTCCTGCAGTGTTGTGTTGCAGCAGTGAGATGAATATTTGATGCTCCTGAATGCGCCAGTAAGCGAGAGACCTCTGTCTCTCTCTGTCTCTCTGTCTCTCTCTCTCTCCCTCTCTCTCTCTCTCTTCAGCTGAGTCAGCTTCTGTGAGAATCGCCTCTCCCTTTCTCCCCCACTGTTTTTCGGATGTACCCCTCTCCCACTCTTCATCTACATACTGCCTTTCCTCTCCTCTATTTCTCTCTCTCATTCCTCCATCATCTCACTCACACACACACACACACACACACACACACACACACACACACACACACACACACACACACACACACACACACACACACACACACACACACACACACACATACATAGTGACATCATCGCTGATCAAACAGGAAGTCCTTCCAGCTGATTCAGGTCACATGACCAGGTTAGCAGTAGTCACATATCAGTGGTGCAGACTAGAAACCAACGAGCTGACCTTAGAGCAGTCGACCTCTGATTGTAAGGTCGTTGCTTCGATCCTCTGCGGTCGACATAGATGTGTCCTTGGGAGGGAAACGTAATCCTTTAACGCTCCTAATGGTGCGGAAATGTGTGTGGATGTGAGGCTCAGTAAGTGGGTGTAGATGTCAAAGCTCTTTGATGGGTTGAAAGACTGAAAAGTGCTAAATAAGTGCAGTCCATTTACATGTTAGTCCGTCTTTTTCAAACCTGTCCGACTTTGTGTCTGTGGCTTTCAGCTTCAAGGCCATTATATCCTTCGGAAGAAGCATCAATAGTCAGCACGTTTATAATATGGATTACTTTGCGTGCTAGCACCAACAATACTGTACAGAGCAGCTTTAATCTACATCTGGTGCTGTCGTGATATTTGTGGCAGCAGGACGGTGTGTGTGTGTGTGTGTGTGTGTGTGTGTGTGTGTGTGTGTGTGTGTGTGTGTGTGTGTGTGTGTGTGTGTGTGTGTGTGTGTGTGTGTGTGTGTGTGTGTTTGTGGCTGCAGATGAATAAATCATGCGGCGGATGGACTGAGTAACTCTGCTGCTTTTCTCTCTGATGGACTGAAACTCTTCTTCTCCAGATAACGTTTAGCTCTGAGATTAATTTCAGATTTGGTATTTTAGATTAAAGCCATGATTTTCTCTCTGCAAGCCTTTGTGGAGTTGTTATCACAGTTCTCAGCCTCCAACAAGATATATTTAACCTTTAAACTCCCCCTTATATCTCTGAAACACTCTCTCTCAAAGGACTGCATCTTTCAAAATGGATGTATTGATCTCCTCCTCTCCTCTTCTTGCCTCTCATGTTTCCTCTCCCCTTCGTCCGCTCTCCCGTCTCCTTCTCACTTTCTTTTCTCTACTTTTTGGTTTATAGATTCATCTGAGATTATCCTCTTTTTTTCTGCAGAGGAAGTTTAAGAATCTGTAAAACAAACTGCGCCTGGAGATAACTTTCAGATCCATGAGAACAAGTTAAAATCCCAATTAAAATTTTCCTGACAAGCTTTCATTAATTTAAACCATTACCTAAAACCTCCAAACCTAACCCTCACTAGAGAGAAGAGCTGTATTTTTAAGAATGGATATATTGATCCTCTTCTCCTACTTCCTCTTTCCTCCTCATGTTTCTATTTTGTTTGACTCAAACTCCGCTTTTCTTCTGCAGTTGGAGTTCTTATTTCCACACTCACCCTATTTCTTTTCACAACACTATTTAAATTTAAAGAATGTTTGTTAATAAAACAACATTAAGATAAGTTAATTAACTAAATCATTTGCCAATTTGGGATCAATAAAGTACCTATCTGTCTATTTAACACAATAAAACAATAAAAGTGATTATTTTAGTATTCAACTTAGTACACACTTTATGGGAATTAGCTCAAACAATGCAAAACAAACAAAAGTAAATAAAGTGTTGGCCAACTGGTAATAAGAAGAGACGTTATTAGGGATAGAAACAGATTATATTATATATCCAATGTACATCTAACATTTAAATAACAAAATAAAATCTGCTGATGATTAAATAAAATAGGGATGTTAAAATTAGTAGGTCAAATTCAAGACAACCATTAATTTAAATAACAACAAAACAATAATAATTTGCCTTTAAACAAAATCCTCTGAAGTCTTAAATCGTGTACTTTCACCCCTATGTTATATAATATACTGTTTACTTTTTTATTTATATTTTATTTAAAAAATGTGATTTTATAAAAGTACGTTTTGCTTTGACAGTTTGCACGATGTTCAGTCTGTCACCTCAGTGATTTATGTGGTGTTTTATTTTCATTTCTTTTTACGTTTCAGTGTTGTTTTTGTTTTTCTTACAGTTTCCTTTGGACTTATGATTTTGACGTGCATGCCTCCCGTTTCTCCATCATCTCCATGGTTACCCAGGGATGTGAGTGGTTTCTATAGCGACAGAGGGGTCACAGCCGCATCACCAGCCGACGGTCGCAATATAATTGCAGAAAAATAAAACACCTGTTTGTCACCGTCAGAGATTTAAGTGCTGCTAATATTAGATGAAACCTTTATCATGTATTACTCACAGTTTCACGAGGAGCAGAGTGGACCCAAATGCAGGAAACAGGACATTTTAGACGGGCACTATTCTGCTCATTTTCAGGTTAATACTTATATTTTCCACCTCTACTGTGACATGTTTACATACTTTAATGTTCAAAAAGATCCGGAAGTAAACAAAGGAGTCCGATGGAGCCATATCAGGCAGGGCGGGAGTGTGTGGGAGAGAAACTCCTTCTGGAAGGAACACATGGATTTGTACTGAAATACATTTATTTCACACTTTGTTCAGAAGAGGCCAAATAAAACAAAACTTCCCAATACACAACAATCAAGACGAACAGGGACAGGAAGTCAAAACAGACGTGACACAGGCCGTTTCTCAATGTCGAGTAAAGCTGCTGCAGATCCACTATTTCAAGTACACTACGTCATCGAGTGGCGCCGAAGGACTGTTTAATGCCCAGCATTCGGCGCCACTCGATGACGTAGTATACTTGAAATAGTGGCTCTGCAGCAGCTTTATTCGACATTGAGAAACGGCCACTGTGTTACGTTCCCTTCTGGACTAGGGGTACTGCGTCGGTTCAGCCATTCTCCGCAAGGGTTTTTGAAATTGGTCCGTGCGCAAAGCATTGTGGGGATTTTAAGGACGCGAAGTCTACCCATGGCAGCCTCGATATTTCCCCGCAAACAAGGACGCGGCCTCTGTTGGACATTCCAAAGTATGTTTGGAGATTGGAACAGTTCCTTCGGCGGCACTCGGATGAGTAGCATCCTTGAAATATTGGCTTGGAAGCCAGTATTCCTCGAGATGAGAAGAGACGGCCAGAGGTGTGTTTCTCAATCCTCGCGAGGATGCTTGCTAGGTAGCACATGTCTGCCGAGTCACTTGCTTCGAAGGCGAGGCGAAGAATCCTTCCGTAGCCTCGAAAACGGAAGAATGGTAGGAAACCAGGCTAACAAGTGTGGCGATCATATCGGAAAGGCCCCACCATATAAATGAGAGCGAAACAGATTTCGCCAAAGTTGCGAAATTAGGTCACCAGTAGCGCAAAAGCATTGGTGGGATATTTCAAGTGACCGCAAGAGTCTAACAACATGCGCTCTGCGGCAAAGAACCATCGACATTTCTCGCTACGAAGTACGCCGGCCTCGGTATAATTCCAAGTATGCTGGACATTGGAACAGTCCTTCGGCGGTACTCGATGACGTAGTATGCTTGAAATAGTGGCTCTGGAGCAGCCTTCCTCGACATTGAGAAACACCCATAGACACCACACATGCTGCACACATGCAGCCCAGAGAAGAAGGAGAGAGTCACTGCAGCCTTCCTCAGGTCCTTTATGGAGGCCCTGATTGGGGATTGGGAGCACCTGAGGGAGAGGCTCCACCTGGAGACAATCAGGGGGAGAGGGAGAGACACACACACACACACACACACACACACACACACAAAAGCTCGTAACACACAGTGGGTGTTTCTCAATGTCGAGTACGCTTGCTTGGTGGCACATGTCTTCCGAGTCACTTGCTTCAGAAGTGAGGCAAGAATACTTCCTGGCATTCGGAAAACGAAGAGTGGAACAGGCGAGCAGATGTGCGTCATATGAGAGGCCCCGCCTTACATTTTCCGCCACAGATTTTGAAATTAAAATGGAGTACGCCGGGCTCTGTAGAATTCCAAGTATGCTGGACATTGGAACAGTACTTCGGCGGCATTCGATGACGTAGTATGCTTGAAATAGTGGCTCTGGAGCAGCTTTACTCGACATTGAGAAACACCCAGGGACAGGGTTTTTCCAAATAAAATAGGAAACATTTCGTTTTGTATATATAACTGTATTTTTTACAGGATGAATGAGGGGTAAAATGACATTACATTCAAGATTCAAACATGAAACCAAGAAATTAGTAAACACCAACAATTACTTAAATAGAATAGTACTAATTAATGGGAATCATTTTAAAGGATATGAAGAAAAATATAAATACATAAGCAACTGAGTTAATGAAATGGTTGTCATTAAATTACATTTCACCCCCACTCATTAATAGACACACATTTGATCTCCACACAACAACAGGAAGGTCTGTCGTCAATAGATTGTATATTCATGTGTAAATCTGTTGCTAGAAATAAATATTTAGCACCAATTAAAACCATTTTATTTCACAAGCTGTAATTTCACCTCGAGAAACAATGAGAGAAGAAGAAGACCGAGAGAGAACAAGGATGAAAACACCATTTAAAACGTCATCTTTGCAAATGTGTCATGTGGAGGAAAATGATTTCTACCTCAAGAACGAACTTAATGAGTTAAGGTGACAGCACTGAAAATTCAATGGACTGCTTTAAATAAATCCATTAGCCATCGAAGGGAAAGAAACAGTGTCATAACTTCATGACTCACTGTTAAAGGGAACATTTGGCACGTACAGTACATCTGTATATCCGTCTCGAGTCATGACGTGTCTCCAGTCCTCAAAGGGACATGTGATCACTTCCTGTTCCCCACACAGTTGTGATTAATATCACCATGGAAACATCTTGATTGACCCCTGTGTTATTTGGAGGCTGTGTAGATGCAGCGTGACCCTCTGCTGACGTGTTATTATTTGGATGTTTTGGTTATAATTTGCTTTGTTTACGCCTGAAACATGAATCCAACAGATTCAGGCAGCACATTCAGGGAAATAATATCTGGATATAAGTTTAATTATTGGAGTTTTTTTCATAATTACAGCATAGTTAAAATGATATAACTGAAGAAGCAACCCACTCACAGAGGCGGTTTACACTCCAGTTCAATTTTGGCACACATAATACAGCTTTGAAATGTAATGGGTTATAGACCACTTATTACCAAGACAGAGACACCAGCTTCATTTAGTATTTTGGGCCATTTTGTGTGACACATTAAAGTGGAGTGGCAACCCACGCCCAACTTGTACTGCTCAGGTTTTTGAGCGCAAGCTTTGTGCAAGAAATACAAGATCAATGCATTCAAATTCTACGAATATTACACATTTGAACCACAGACATGAGGCGATAGCCAGAGAAGAAGAAAACATTTCAATGTCTTTACCATTTGTCACTGTAGTTCTGTTTGTTCTGTATCAATGTTTACGGTCGACAGGATTTACATTAAGCCAAACTTCCTTGTTGTTAGATATGTGTTTATCTAACGGAGCAGCCGTGTGTGATTTAGAAGTAAAGGGTTCAGTAATGATTTAATGTTGATGTGAATAATCTGTAAATGTTTTCTTCTTCTGTTCAGCCGAGGACTGTGGCGGGATTCAGAGGGACGGTCCGCTACGCTTCGGTCAACGCTCATAAAAACAAAGTCAGTGTTTGTGTGTTGTCTTTAAATAATTACGTAAATAATGTCTTTAATGAAAGTGAATGATAGGAATACCTTACCGTAGCCTACATAGGTTATATCAGCAGTTATGTATTGACTACATTTTATTATTTACTGATAAAACTGACATAAACAATAATATTGTTTTTCTTCTGTTTCCCTCCAGGAAATGGGTCGCCATGACGACCTGTGGTCATTATTTTACATGTTGGTGGAGTTCGCTGTTGGACAGTTGCCATGGCGAAAAATCAAAGATAAGGTAAACAAATCAGTATTTGTTTACTCCTGTAAAGACTTCAACAATATCAACAACAACAACAGTATACAAGAATATTTTCACATAGTAAATATCAACCTGTTAGAACATAATACTATTTCAAAAACTGTAGTATAGTAAAGTATTTACATTGATGTTAGATAAGACCATATCGTAAAAAAAAAAATTAACTACAAAACTAACGCTTTTGCCCTCTAGAGATATTCACTTAACGCCTCACTCTCTCTTCAAATTGTTATCTTTAAAACCCTTTAAATCGACAACTTTCAACATGTAACTACTATTTTGCACCAGATTGAGCCATTTCCTCATGTTTGCCATCGGTTATTTCCTGGTTACCACAAGGAGCCTCGCTGTGTAATCAAAACAATGATGTTTAAAAAGACAACAACATTATGTGAGAGAAACTGGCATTTAAAGGGTTACAATGATGGAGCTTTTCGTTGTAGGTTACCAAGTCAATAAATTGTTTTTGTTTTCTGCTTTTGCCTGATGATCAAAACCTGTTTTATATGTCAAACAAATAAAGGTAGAAATGTACATGAATTGTCAAAATGTCACTTCAGTCTAAAGCGTTCTTTTATGATTTTCTCCAGGAACAAGTTGGTCAGATTAAAGAGCGTTACGACCACCGGATGCTGCTCAAACACATGCCTTCAGAGTTTAATATCTTCCTGGACCACGTGCTGGCCCTGGACTACTACACCAAACCAGACTACCAGGTACACACTGAGAAGTATTTACAATGTGTGCCCTCTCTTTTAGTGTTATCACCTGGACAATAGTTTTCATTCATGAAAGAACATCCATCTGTTTGCAACTTACAAATTATTTATCTAATGTTTCATATTCCAATTACTTGTATATAGACTCTCCTTGCACTATTTGTATTCTACCTTATTTCTATTTACTTGCAGTCTTGTATCTGTTTGATTGTGTTGCACTGTTGGAGGAGCCTGTGACCTCAGATTTTCATTGTCATATCTACCCTGTAGCTATGCACACACGACAATAAGAGCCTTGAACCTTGAAGGACTTTATCCTGTTGTTTTGTCCCAGCTGCTGATGTCGGTGTTTGAGAACAGCATGAAGGAGCGAATCATCACCGAGAACGAGCCTTTTGATTGGGAGAAAGGCGGAGGAGACGTCACGCTGTCGACCAGCACCTCCAGCCAGCCTCAGCAAAACACCCGACCCACGGCCGCCATGGTGGGGTAAGAAACAAACCATCAGCTGCATGAGATCTGCCTAAAGATGAGCAGGAGACGATATGTGAAGCTTCCTGAGCATTTGTGTTGAACGGGTTTACTCGTTGTCCCCAGAGTCAGAACTACATTTGCCGAGGCAGCTTTTAGATTTCATGAACCACAAGCTTGGAACAAACTGCCTGAAATTCTGAGGTCCGCCCCGACCCTGGGTTCTTTTAAATCAAGGTTAAAACACTTTTTTTTATTGCAGCCTATCCTGAGATCCTTTAACAGTGCCTTATCGTTGCACTTTGAGCTGCAGCCAGCAATTTATCGCTTTTATGAATTGTCTTTTTTTTTTTTGTGTTTGTTTTGTTTTTAATTAGTATGTGTTAAATTCCTATGTGAAGCACTTTGAATAGCCTCTGTGTGTTAACATGTGCTATACAAATAAACTAACCTTGAACCTTGAAGCTTCACTAAAAAGCTGAATGACGAGGATTTTTCTTAAAAACAATATTGATAAAAATAATTCCTCTCACTCATCTTTGATAATAGAAGTATGGGAGACACTAGGCCTATATTTGATTTCTTTTATTTTTGCTGTATTGTGAGTTTGGAAGAATAAAGATAAGGTTAGTGTAAAATAATTGAATGCTATTTTTGAGTAAAAGTAGTTCAATTAGGAGAGACGTTTATTACCGGGACGCCTGATATGAGGGAATGGTGATTGACGGATTACGACAAGTGAATGAAATGATGTTTGGCGATTAGGCCCCGGTTTTCAGGATGATCATTCAGGGGGGGGAAACCGCTCCGATGAACCCCCCGGGGTCTAGACACTGGTGGTGGTGATAAGTGGTTCGGTCCGGTCTGAAGGGAGAAGGTTTTTGCTTGGCCCTGTATTAGGAGACAGGAGGCGAAGGGGTGGAGGAGGGTTGTGCATTGACGCCTGAAATGACGACTGACAGAGAGGGAAGAGCAGATTTAAAGGGGTAGCGGGTGCGATGATTGGCTAGCTGGGGAGTAATGCCCCCGATCGCTTATTGGGAGGAGAGAGTATTGAAATGACATGTAACACCAGAGGATTGGTCTTCCTCATTGAACTTGCGCTAAGCTTCATTAGTTGTTGCTCTTTTCCAAGCAAGACAAACGTCTAAAAAAATAAAGTGAAATAAATGGTAGCAAAAATATTAGTTGCTGGTACTATCAGAAGTTTTTAATTTGTAATACTGTTAGGGACGTTCTTTGCTTAAAGGTAGTTAAGGTGTGCCAGATGATATGCCAGCATCCAAGAGGAAGCTAAGAAAATGGCGGAAACAGAGCAGAAAAAACCCAAATATAGCAAGGCCAAACCCCAAGTGGACAAAACTCTTTCGTAAATCCGAAAAATTAATTAAAGGTTGGCTTTCAAATTTTCAAATTTAAATGTTGAGATGAACATTCTGGTTTAATGCTGGAGAATTGTTATATTATTATTCAATCCATCGTCACTGAAAATAAGAATTCCAGGAAACATTCACATTTGCAACGGACAAAACAAATGAACCTAAATACATAAATCATATCCCAATATGTAAAACTGTGACGGTGCAGATCACAGATTGACCAACAACGCCAGTGACAGCGGGCGGCGCACACACACACACACACACACACACACACACACACACACACACACACACACACACACACACACACACACACACACACACACACACACACACACACACACACTCACACTCACACTCACACTCACACTCACACTCACACACACACAAACTTCTTTCCCAAAGAGTAATCAGTTTCCTCAACCTGAAACCCAGCCACTGCCATTTTGCCCAAATTGTAAATATGTTTGATTCTGCGCTTTAGTTATAAATAAATACTTTGAGCACAATAATACCCACTATGCCAATGTTTGAGGATGGATAAACTAGAACCCTGTCACAAAAACCAAATGTGAAATCACCCACATGAACTACAACCAAAGGCTGCCTGGATTATAGAATATCTAATGCTGAATACAGGATATTAATTTAAACAGGCAACACATCAGAATGACCCAATTAGTCTCTGAAATACCAGAACCTCTTGGGTCCACAGAGCCATCATGACGCCGATCCCTGGAGATCTCGGGCGGGAAAACACAGACGAGGTTCTGCAGGACGAACACCTCAGTGATCAGGAGAACGCCCCCCCGCCCCCCACCAGCCGCCCCCCCGGGGACACGGGGGCCCAAAACACCGGGGAGACCGGAGAGGTGTGGGAGGACACGGACTTCAACCGCAACAGACTCAGGATCAGCCTGAGCAAGGTTTGAAATGCTACTAAACAGCTGATTTATACTTCTACTAAAAGTGGTTTGAAGGCCAAAGATTCATGAGGGAAGTCTTAAAACGGGTTTCAATATCCTAATTCTGGAAATTGAAAAGAAAGGCGGTTTAAAGGTCAAAGATGGGTTCGGGTAACAGTGAAACAGGGGGAATGTGTTGGCTGGGGATGCAAAATGGATGAAAGAGAAGGATGAAAGGAATATAAAAACTATCAAAATAACTATAATTTCACGAAGACTAGGGTAGAGGAATGTGAGAATGTGGCTATACTTGTATTCATGTGTTATTCATGTTTTAATATCTTTGCTTTTTAATGTTTCTAATGTGTTTTATGCTCTTAATGTCTTTCATTGTTGTAAAGCACTTTGAATTGCCTTGTGTTGAAAAGTGCTAGATAAATAAACTTGCCTTGCCTTACTACGCTGCAATTCAGAGCAAAATATCCCACTTTTTAAATTGACAAAAATCATGACACTTGTAGGCTACAAAAAATGGGTTTATAGATAGGAAATGTACCGGCAGGATTCTTGATTTTGTGTTTGTTTCTTCATGGTTGAACGCACTTTTTGTAAGTCGCTTTGTATAGAAGTGTCAGCTCAATGAAATCAAGTCATTGTCAATCTTTCAGTTTGTGTGTGAGATGCACATCCCTAGTGTACAGACAGAGAGATCGAAAAATAACGTTTCCCAAATACAAAATACAAATATATATAAAAATATGTATAAAAATATGTATATACCTATATACACAATCAACAGACGCATTTATACATATGCACACATTAGAACCTAAATAAAAGTGCAACAATCAAATAGAAAATAACAGTCACTTCAATATCTTTTAGAAATGTACGTTAGTGCAAGATTGTCCATAGCAGCGTAAAAACTAAAAACTAAAAATGAAATGTAATGTAATTGTTACTGACTTTCATGACTTCCCGTTCTTCCACAGGGGGGTCCGGAGGACGAGTCGGGTCGGGGGGCGTGTCCAGCGTCTCCCGTTCGAGGAGGAGTCCCCGAGTCGCCCACCGGCGGTCGGTCTCTACGATACCGCCGGGTCAACAGCCCCGAGTCGGACCGACTGTCGGCAGCTGAGGGCCGCAACGACGGCTACGGCCCGAGGTGATCTCAAACTACAGAAAACACTGAAGGGGGTTTAAAAACAACTCTCTGCTCCATAGCTTCTCTTGGTCTTAAAATCACACTGTACATTTTACATTTATATATTCATATTTAATATTCCATCCCTCACATACTTATGGATATATAATAACTTGCTTTATATTTTGTTATTGTTCATTTGTAAATTCAACATGTATATTTTCCACTTTCTTGTTTATTTTTTCTATTGTAAAAGGCCATGTCTTTTTATGCTGCTGCAACACAAACATTTCAATAAATGTACTATCTTATCTTATATTATCTTATCTCTTGACAGGAACAACTCAAGTAAAAAAATGACTTAAAGAGTCTGAGAATTAGTCTAACAAAATGGAGGCCAGTTTTAAGACTTGACAACACTTTAATTGGAAAAACTAAATAGCAGTTTTCCTATAAAGACATGTCTGGTCTTGGACTAGACAGGGTGTCCGCGGGGTCTTAAAAAGTATTAAATGTTGATAAATCAATTTAGCGAAAATTAAGGCTATTAAAAAGTATTAAAAAGTATTAAACGGCATTTTCCAAGGTATTAAGAAGTCCCACAGCAACGACAACATGAAACACCCTTTAATTTACTGAAACGACATGTCGGGAAACAAGGCGGCCCCATGCATAGCGCGCCGTAAAATGCTGCTTCTTATTTTAAGTTTCGTTGCCTTGCTCTGCTCTGTGTGGGGGGGGGATATAAGAAGCNTTTGACGTCATCTGAACAGGACATCGCACGCTCACTGCTTGATAGCGCGCGAAGGTCCGTTTACGCCGGTTGTTAAACAACATCGTTATGGGGAAATGCAAGTCTGCGTCCAAATGGTTGGAAGATAAGGAGGAAGGACAATCAATACTGTATAGTAAATGTGAGGTAAAGTGTGTCGCCAAGGTAACCGGTTAGAACTCAAAGTGGCGATGAGGTCTTAAAATGTATGGAAAGAGTCTTAAAAAAGCTCTTAAAAGGTATTTCATTTGACTTCAGGATTCCTGCATATACCCTGCTATATGGTTAGCTTTAGAGTCAACCTTCGTATGTAAGAAATTACATGCTTTTATTCACTTTGAACTGGTTTCAAACTGATTTTACTTGGATTTATCTAGATTTACTTGAGACTTCTTTTGACAAGCCTTGTGACTCTCTCTCTCTCTCTCTCTCTCTCTCTCTCTCTCAGAATGACCTCAACTGACCTGACTTGAAACTTCTTCATCTTGCCATTCAAGATAAGACATAGGTCTTGACTGAACTGGACTTGGACTAGCTCTCATTCACTTGAAATAGCTTAGTCTAGACTTGGGACTTGTTTAGTTTTGCCATTCATCACTTGAGACAGGTCTTACCTCGGCTTTGGTCTCAATAAATTACGACTTTACTAGAACTTGTCTCGAAGGAAGGACATGGGTGAAAAATGTGCAAAACATACAGCTGTTGAAGTCAAAGTTAAACTCAATGTCTTCATGTCTGTGTCCAGGTCCCGGATGGATATCCTCGGCTCTCCGTCTCGTCACGTCTACTCCTCACAGCCGGCTCAGATGCTGTCAGTCGACCCCGGTTGCCGTGGTGACCGTCTGGCCAGCGGGCGGCAGGAGGTCTCTGTGGCGTCGGTGGACCAGGAGGCGCACAGCAACGCTTTCATCCGCTCCGTCCCATTGGCCGAGGAGGAGGACTTCGACAGCAAAGAGTGGGTGATCATCGACAAAGAGACGGAGCTGCGGGACTTCCAGCCAACAACGTCAGGAACGACGGACGAGGAACCGGAGGAGCTGCGACCCCTGGAGGAGCAGGAGGAGAGGAGGAGGCTCCGGGCCGCAGGTAGGAGCTCCTGTACACACTGGGGAGATTTAAACAATTACCAATATCGTTTTAGAGGTAAAACATTTAAGGATTTAGATCCAACACTTCTGGATATGGCTTTTAATACCAAAAGGATACCTTAGTTGTACTAAAACAGTACTTTGAGAAAAATAAACTTGTTTTTCAAAACCCTATCTATCATTAACTATCAGGTATTTTTGTTAAAGGTATAATACAGTCTGTGTTGTAACTACCCATCAATTAAAACTCATCAAGATTACCATAGAAATTGTGCCAAAATCAGGCTTTTGAACATTTTGTGTTGATACCGCACTGTTTTAAATTTAGAGCCTTACAGCTAGGTTTTAGGTAAAAGCGTTTCTATGAAGTGTAGCAACTTTCTGGCCAAGATATTTTTTTGAATGTAGTATTTAGTTACTATTACATCCTGAGTGTGGCGGACCTACAAAGTGCAATTTTACAGCAAAAGTAACGTAACTATCAAAGCTCCTAAAAAAAGTAGCTTCTTAAATGACAATATTTTCATCGACTGGAAGGCAGATTTCTACCAGTATGTCCAATGATAGGTGTTAGCTTAGCTTAGCACAACAAACTGAGACAGAGTTGTTGTATCTTGTTATCTTATAATTACTAAACGTCTTGCTAACTGCTGCTTAAATCACAATGTGTCCTTGTTAACCTTCTCTTTCACAAGTGTTCAACAAATCTCATAAAAAGTGTAAAGCAGACTGACTGGGAGATGTTGGATTTGTTTGATAGAGTTTGGCAATAAATAGTTTCACGCTGCATCCAAACTTTGTGCTAAGCTACGCTAAACAAATCCTGGACTGTTTGTTCTGGCTCGTACATCATCTCAACAAACCATCCCTAAATTCTTCAAAGTGAAAAAGCTCTAAAAATACTTTCTGCTCACTAATGTTACATATAGAATGTATATTTGTAAGATGACATACCCAACATGTACCTATTAGATGCTTGTGCTTTGATAATGTCTGCATCAGTATTAACTTTCAAAGGTTTTATCGTCATATGCTCAGCAGCTACAGTGTAGAAATGGCAATGAAATGCTTCTGACCTGAGCTCCTCCAACAATCCAACATATATAAATAAATAAAATACAAAATAAAAAGTAGTGCAAAAAGACTATATATATATATATNCTCCTCCAACAATGCAACATATATAATAAAATACAAAAATACAACAAAAAAGCAGTGCAAAAATAGTATATATACATGTCAATAGATGAGAGTAACACCTTCGTCACTTCCGGGCGAAAATTAAGGCCCCGCCCACTTTTCTGGGAAAACAACACTGTCATTTGAATGGCGGTCAATACAAATTCTGAAGTTTTTGCCAATCCGATCAGAAGTTTTTGAAAACCGTGGATTTTTCGGATCTTCAAAGAGCCCGATTACGATGGCCAGTCAGGCAAACAATTACATTAAATAATTTGAAATCGATGATCGGGCTCGATATATGGTTCAATTATGGTTCAATTGGGGCGGTTTTGGCGCAGATGGTCATCAGATCAAGAGGCGTTGGTGAACTCCAGTTCAAATCCCGCCTCCCGCCCTGCGTCAGGCCGTTGGGCAAGACACTTCACCCGCATTTGTTCCTGTGGGTAATGTCCACAGTAATGACTCTTACATGTCTAATATGTGTAATGTGCAAAGCGCTTTGAACACCTGTAAAAGCGCTCTAATAAAAAATGTAATGTATTATTATTATTATTATTATTATAATTAAAATCAGTAGGCGAGGCTGTCATTTTCGCCGGCTGTTACTCTCATGAGCGAGGCGGAAAATAATTTTGTTATCATGCCAAAAAGCTGCTGTGTCGTTTATTGCTCCTCAAACATTAAAACAAATCCAGAGTTACGTGTTTCTGGACTTCCTCTAAGAAGAAAGGACAGTAACAGGAGAGCTCTGTGGCTTCAGGCTCGATCGCCATTCAAATGACAGCGTTGGTTTCCCCCAAAAGTGGGCGGGCCGTAAAGTGACGTAGATGTTACTCTCATGGACATCGATCACCTACTGCTATATTTAACCAAATATCGAGCCGATCGTCGAAATCCACGGTTTTCTTAAATTTCTGATCGGATTGGCAAAAACTTCAGAATTTGTATTGACCGCCATTCAAATGACAGCTTTGTTTTCCCCCAAAAGTGGGCGGAGCCGTAACTTTTTGCCCGGAAGTGACGCATGTGTTACTCTCATGTACATGATAAGTACGAGAACAGAATATGAAATTAAATAATGTAAATTAAAACAAAATTAAATACGGTTTATTGCGGTGATAACTTTTTATATAAATTAGTATATTGCAAGATGACAACAGGAATGTTTATCGGGGCACTTAACAGTCTCTTGTCAACATTGTTTTTTTCTGCAGGGGAGCTGGTGGTCCGTCCAAAGACCCACACCAGGGAGAGTAGCCGAGGGATGCTAACGCTAACGGAGGAGGAGGCGTCGAGGAGGAGCGGAGGAAGCCCCGCCCAGTCGCCCTGTCACTCGCTGCCGTCAGGACGTCCCCGCCGGAGAGAGTCGGATCCCATTGGACCTCAAAGACCGGTAAGAGACACAGCCAGCCAATCAGAGGAGGGCTCGGCTCTCAATGTTGACGGACAGAGGAGAAAGTGGACGGCTGATGTTCAGACTCATCACTCTGATGAATGCTGCTCCACTTCATTAATCTGTCGGTCAACATGCATCTTAAAGGACAAATCCAACATGTTCAGAGGATCAGCTCATTTTCAGATTCCCCCTTCTTTGGCTTTTATCATTGTTGAAGATTTAGCAGCTTTTTACTTCACTAGGAGAACCAGAAACCAAGGTCAATCCCTGGATCTACGGGATAAATCAGGTGCCAACAGTTGACTAGTTTTACAAACATTGACTTCTGGCGTCAGTAGATTTCTCCTAAAATCCCTAGCTAAGTTAGCATTAGCATTGACAGAACATCAGCCAGTGCAGTTAGTCTGTTTCCTAAGAGCAAAACATCTGAACTCATGTTGGACTTGTCCTTTAAAGGTGTCTCAGTGTGTCTGCAGCTGAACATCCGTCACATGCAGTCATTCTGTTTAACCAGCAGCAGCCAACATATCCTCTGCTATATTTAATATTTACTGACTTCCAGCATGGAGAGATGGTGATGACATTCTTCTTGTGATATTTATTTTTCTCCACAGCTAAAAACATTGTGCACTTATTAGCCGTATGTCCTCAGTTAAAGAACATTTTGGGGAGCTGTCATTGGTGCAACATTGATGTTTACTGACAACAGCTTAAGAGAGGCTAAATGTGTTAGCGTTGCATGAAACATTTAAAGAAACGATTTTGATTGTATTAAGGTTTTACTGGCACACTGTCTTCAGGCCATGCAGTCATATTGTGTGTTATTTCAAATGCAACACAGCTTACAAAAAGCAAAACCATATTTCATGAGTCTTAGCTGTCAAAGCCTCATGGGAGCTGTGGTTGCTTCACATTTTTAAAATGTGTTTCTATCCAGTGCTTCAGTATAGTCCTATTTATCTTAAAACATGGACAGACAATTTCAGCAACAAAATTAATAATTGGTGTCGAAAAAAGATGAAATGACGGCTGACTTTTCCTGTCTATGTCTGCTTTATTGATCTTTGCTGAGGCAGGTGTTCGGGTCAGGTGTGTTGGTTTACATGTGTCACTGTTTGGTGCTGATGGTTTGATTCTTCCTTGACTGTCTGTGACACACAAAAACATTTCTCACCGCCCAGCTGTGTGAGTGGTGCTGCCGTCTTTTCCTCGTCATATTGCATCAGAGTTTAAATATTTTCCATCTCTTTGCTTTTGCTCATGATTTTTGCTTTGGATCATGGTTTTATTCTGAAGGAGTGAATGAGAAAAAAAAGAAGCATTTCCTGTAGGAGTCATGATGTTTCTATGTCAGGATGCTGATGATGTTTATTCATCTTCTTTTGTTATGCTGTGTTCCTCATGTTCTCTGACATGTAAAAAGAGTCTCACACACACACACAACACACACAACACAACACACACAACACACACCTCAACGCACACAACCACACACACACACACACACACACACACACACACACACATACACACACACTACAATCTTACCGTAACAGACACCATACTGGAGTATCGTTTATACATACACCAAATCTTTCAATAACTTTTTTAATAACCGCTTTCAATAAGAGAGAACCTCAAAAAACACTGACACTGGGCTTGAACGTTTTTTGAAGGTTTGGAGAAACATTCAGTCCTGAGGTGCTTGCTTTATATGTCTTTCTAAACATACATCATCAACCTCAGATTGAATATTCTGGTGCTGTGATTTAGTGAAAATGTTAGTATATCATTATGTTTTGTTTCTGTTGGCGCTGACAAAGGAATTGGTTCAACTAGTTCGTCGTAGTTTGTTCAGTCGATCGGCTCTCTTTCTGGGTCGATCCCCTTGTGATGTTTGAGACTTATTTTCTGTGAGAGCTGGAAGAAAGTTTTGGGTTTTGAATTAACAAAAAAATGTGGCAGTATATCTTAAAGGTTTGATTTATAACCATTTAATTCATTACATCCTGCAGACCCAGCCACAGTTCGGGAACCATATATTCCTGTCAAGTATTCCAGACATATGGCTACTGTTACATGTGTTCATACACAGCCGCTGTGTTCAGGTCATCTACATCGAGGAACATTTTCTCGTGTGTTTGGTGATCCAACGATGCACTTAAGGTACATTAAATGTAAATCGAGGAAACTTCCTCAAACTCCTTTTCCATCACTTTACACATACATACATAGTTGTGAAACCTGGCAACTAATTATAATATGTCATATAAAAAAGTAAAAAGTATTTGTGTGAAGTAGCTGAAAGCGACAATTAAATCTTCTCAAATTACTAAAAAGACAACTGTTTTAATAATAAGGGAGTGTTTTAACAAACGTATACAGAGGCCCGGAGGTCCCAAAAGAGTGTGTTTCTTTTTAATAAGATTTGTGCACAAGATAAGAAATAAATAATCTTTCGGGACTTCCTGGCCTTTGTGACAAAAAATAAAGGTAATAAGAACAAAATGTAAAAGAGAGTTTGAGTTAAACTGACAGCTTTTAATTGTGGATTTAGGATTCAATATGTATAGGTAATAACAAATGGACAAGCATTCTCCTTGTTATGGATGACCAAACCTGACTAAATAGGAAATGTGATAAGTGCAAAGTCAGCATTTATTCAGTGGAGATAAACTTGTCCAACTACAGGAATGTAGGACTGGGCAATACATCATGTTGAGAAAAATATATAACTTTTCTGTAAAACCAGGAAAAGACAACTTTATCCAAAATCAAACCTAACTAATTTTGCAAATTAAAACAGATGTATTGCCCAGCTCTACAGGAATGATCATCAGGTTATTGAAATCTAAAGAGATAATCCTCCGAGGAGCAGAAACCAGATTATTTCATTACATTCAATTTCTTTGATTTTTTTTGTATGTGTGTGTGTGCACTTGTGTATTTCTTGTGAAATGTTGTCCTGATGGTGGCGCTAGAGGGACATATCTGGGGGTCATTAGGATTCAACCTCTGGGGAGTCTGAATATGCAAAGCTGGTTTAATGAAAAAATGAATGTGGAATCATTGAATTTCACATTCATTTTCATTTTATTTTTAAGGATTATTATTTGTTGATAATTTCCTTTTTTTTGAATATCTTGACTTTCCTTGTCCATTTATGCTTTTCAGTTCATTTCTACATGTATGTGACCATTTGAGTTATTCATGCACTCCTTTTTTTATTTTTACTAATCAGTCAGGTTTGGTCCTCCGTACTTTGGTGGCTGCTGTTTACAGGCTGGACGTTATTCCATCACCACTGATATCTCACTTTATCAGCAGCGTAACATCCTAATCCTTTAAGGCCGTGCTGAAGCGTGTGCACAAACCCGTCATTAGTGAAATATTCTAGCGAGCTCTGCTTTTATTTCTCGTGCCGATTGTCACCGCTAGACTCAAAGCGAGCCCTCCGCCGCCAACCATGGAGGACCGCCATTCTCTTTTTTACTCCTCTCCAATTCTTCCCTCCCCCTTTCACATAACTACTGATGCCTTTGCCCCCCAACCTATCGCTTTAAAAGTACACAGTATGTCGAGTTTGACTCACCTGAGGAGACAGAGAAAAGAGCGAGGGTGCCATTGGGACAACAGAAGAAGAAATAAAGTGATGTTTCGGGGTAAGCACAGTCTAGGAATAGTCCTTTACCTCTGTTCTCTCACTCAGTTTTCTGTTCCTCCTCTTCCTTTTTCCTTCTGTTCAGACATATTTCCTCCCATTATTTTCCTCCGTCGTGTGTCTGTGTTTTGTGTGCTTGATGACTCCATCTCTCTTTTGTGTTCCCTGTTTTCTTTTTGCATCTCCAATGGTAATTTTTCCTTCAGAAATCCAAAGCTCAAAGTGTCAGTTGTCCAGGCTCAAACTGTCGTAGACTAGTGAGCTACAGTATGTGCAGTGTTCGTGCTGGTGTGTCCTTTTTAAAGTGCTTGTTTGTGGGGGAAAGTATCTTCATCACCATTTGTCCAAGCTAGAGGGATGCTAGTCTGACCAATCTGGCAACCCAACACAGTTAACAATCTTATTGGCTCTCTGTTAACTTTTGTATAGCTTCTTCGTAGTATCTGATAGCTGTAACTGTAGACAGAGTGCCAGATTTACACCAACACTCCCTCAGCTTCCCTCCCAAGTCCCTCCCCTCGCAACCTTTGACCAATCAGCTGCAGGCTTTAGATGTGTGAGAGCACCAATCAGCTCTCTCCTGTCTAACGCCTGGTCAGGGAGGGGAAGGAGACAAAGGCAGGAAGTAAAATCTGAGTGTTGGGATGTAGCCTTATTAGAAAAATGTTAACATTTAAATACATTTATTTTTCATAAACAGCCTGCTTGCTAACCTCCCTCCCTCTCTCTGATTGGTCTGTTTGCAGTTGGACGAGGAGAGGCACCAACCGCGGCCCAATCAGCTGAGGAGGCTGGCCTCCTACGTGTTCTCCTCCTCCACCCTGGAGACGGAGCAGTATCCCCACAGTGGAGGCAGCTTCATCCAGAGGAGCCGCTCGGCAGAGAGCAGCCCCGCCCACATCACTGCCGCCAACGCCTCCTTACGCCGGCGCCAAGCGGGCACCCTGCCGACGCCCGGCAGCCCGCGCAGCAGACATTCGGTCCTGAACGTGTCGAGGACGCAGCTGCAGCAGATGTTAGCAAAGCTCATGAACAAGAACAACAACAGCTGAGAGGACTGAGAGACAGACTCAGAAAACACACATGTTACATTGAACACATACACGTGAAGTATACTGATGAAGGACACACATAAATACATGGACATACATATACTGTATATGCAGAGTCGGTCACACCACTTTTTGTGGCCTGCGGCCTTCTGACCCCCCACGCCACCAGAATATAAAGTCTTTATAATTTGCACAGTCTGAAGATCTTGTACTGAAGGAGGTGTCGTTTAAGGGCAGCAATTAACAATCATCTCATTATTGAAAAATTGGGAAATCTTTTAAAT